ACCACGTCTAAAATGTTTCGTTAGCAAAATCTATAAATTATAGTTAGTTAAAAATAGAACGGAATATATCAGTTTTCTTGAAATTGACATGAATACATGTTGGAGAATTTAACAAAAAAGTATTTTGGTTAAATTTAGACAAAAGAGAAATTAATCTGAATTTTTATATTTAAATAATTATGAAAAGTAAAATCTAGAGACTTTTTAAAAGTAATTTCAACTTTTTCGAACCTTACTTTGTCCATATCGAATGCTACATGGAACAAATATCTCATAAACTTGATCGAGTTTATAAAAATGAAGCGAAAAGTACCAAAATTGTAACTTTCCGGAAATTTAACTGTTCGTCATGAAGTCTATTATTAGGGTGTGGGTGTGTCGTCGCCATCCACACTCATAATCACACCCAGACCCATACCTACATCCCACCTACACCCACACACCCACACACCCACACCACTATTTTCTGTTCATGAAAGTCAAACATATTTAAGTACCAAAAACCTCTTCAATAAACTATTTTTCATGTAATGCTTATTTATTTATGGGGTGTGGGTGTGGGTGTGGGTGGGTGTGGGTGTGGGTGTGGATGTAGGGGTCTGTGTGCAGTTATTTTCTTTACTTACATCCACACCCAAACAGCCACACCCACACCCACACCCACACCCACACCCCACACCCACATATAGATATATGTATGTTTATTGATTTATTGTAGAAAAGAAGGCAATCAAAAATATACATATATATGCCCATTGATTTATTGTAGAAAAAACATTCAAAAATGTAGATATGTTTGTTGGCTTGTTGTAGAAAACAGATCAAAAAGACATATTTATATGTATGTTTATTAATCGATTGTAGAAAGCAAATAAAAAAATATATGTCTGTGTTTATTGATGTATTGTAGAAAAGAAATAAATAAAAGACTATGTATGTTTATTGATTGATAGTAGAAAAAAATCCAAATACATATATATATATATGTTTATAGATTTATTAAAGAAAAAAAATAAAAAAATATATGTGATGATTGATTTATTGTAAAAAGGAAAACAAAAGACATAAAATTTATCATCTCTATTTTCCTACTACTAAAGATTATTTTAAACGAAATGTTGAAATAATCTCTATCTTTGACTTGTAGAAACTAGAGAAAGATATATTTTAAACTGAACGTATAACTCAATGAGTGTGAAATAATGTTTCTCATATTTGCTAATAAATTTCTTTTTATTAATGCTTTTCAGATTGCCTGCTTTTTAGATCCTGTAACTTATCGATTAATGAGTGATAATGATAAAAATGTAGCTGAAGCATATATTATTAATGAAGCATATAATCGTAATTTATCTCAACAAATTGTTGTAGATACTACTCTTCCATCTAATACAAATAGTTCTTCATCAACAACACATTCAGCTAACATCAATAATCAACTACACAATTTCTCAATAGGATGTGGACTTGATCCACCTCCACTTAGTTCAACCAATATTCGTTCGAATCGAACAATACAAGAAGAAATTGCATATTATATCGACAATGTTAAAAATTTTACAACATTTGAAGAGTTTTGGAAAACTCATCAAATGGAGCTTCCATGTCTCTCAGCACTTGTTCGATCATTCAATATTCGACCAGTCACATCTGTTCCCAGCGAAAGTTTGTTCAACATTGCTGCTTATGTAAATCAAAAACAACGTTCGTCGATGTCTGCAAAGGCACTTCAATAGTCGATGGTACTTCGTGATGCAGATATACTTGCAACTTTATTATGAATATAAATATTTAGTTAGGTTTTTTTTGTACTATGTTTTTCTCATTTGATGTCACATGTACTTCAATATAACTGTTGTTATATTTTCATTGATTGTTCTTAGAATTAAAAGAAAATTTTGTGTCGTATATTCATTAGAAAATGAGCTTGTTATTACATGCTCATTAACCCATTTGTGAAATAAAAAGCATTTGATTATACTATTAGAAAATTACATGAAGAATTTGTTTATAATTAAAAAAATACTTCTTATCACTGGTCGTGAGACAACTTGTACTTTTTTCTAATACTGATTAGTTGAATCAAAAGTAAACAGGGATGTAGTAACTTGCCACTTACCACTTGCTGGTAAGTGGTGAACATCACTACGCAACAATGAATAATTCATAATTAGGATATTCATTAATCAGTGCTATATAGATAATTTTCTAATGATTAAAACACTTACCACTTACCTGGTAAGTGGAAGTAGTGGTAAGTGGTAAGTGTGACACCCCTAATTCAGATCTTTACTACTGATGAGAAAAAGTAAATGCAGAGCATTGTGTTTTTTCGGTTACACTGAACATAAATGGCATGTTGTAAGGAAAAAAACATTCTCTCTCAAAACAAATTTTATTTCAGGAAGAAAAATTCTTTGCCCTTTTATTGATGAAGTTGTTCTGTTTTTTCTTTTTCTTTTGGCAGTATAGCAACAAGTTGGAGAAAACCGAAATCAGACTCATGAGCAAGCATATTTAATCGAATTGAGTAAATAACTGTGAGGCTTAGTGTATTTATTCATGTGTTGCGTCAGTAATCTTTTTAAAACTTTTTTTTCCATGCAAGGTATGATTCATTCCTAGTTTATTCTCGCTTAAACGACTTACTTGCTTCCTTGCTGCATCCTGCACGAGAAAAACAACAGAGTGAGAAACAGTTAAAAGTAGAGACATGAGTGAAAATCGGAATCATCAAAAAAAAAAGTGCGATTGAAGGAAATATTACTCAATACTGTTAGCGGCACGGTTTGTCCGCCAAATACACGCATAACATTTGTCTCTGTTAGGTCCTTTTCCCCCAGTTTCTTTATTCCTTCTTTCTTCACAAAAACAAACAACTGAATCAATCAAAAACAAAAAGCAGCAAAGAATGTTCTTTCTCTCTTTCTCTCCTCTTCCACCGCTTGGTTCCATCTCCTAACTATGATAGAGGGATAAAGATGGCCGTCTTATGTCAGGAGATGTCTCTACTGACATAACAGTCTCTGACTATACGTATTAATTTTAAGAGGCTGACATACCTTAAAATTACTGAACAAGTTTATGGATGCTTATTGATCATCAGTGATTTTCACTGGTTTCATATTATCTGAGTCATAATAAAAACGATTTTTTCTATCCATCGTGTGCTGGTACATACATGAACGGAATTGAAGTGTCATCATTTTGTAAGAAATAAAGCACTACATCTAGAAAATATGTACCTTCAGCTATATGAGCAACCGATGGTAATAGTATTTCTCCTATAAAAAAAGTATAACAGTTGCTCCTGTTTTTGTTATTGGGTGTGCATGTGTCTATGCGGTGGTGGGTGCGGGTGTGGGTGTAGACGATGAGTATCTTGATACGCACACTCACACCCATACCCTATGTGAAATTTAGGTATATAAAAACGGATGATCATAAAAACTATTGATACCTTTGTTTTTCTTAGAATTTTTTTTTCATTCTATTAGCTTCTCGAACCTTTCTTGTGTATATCAGATACATTCGATCTGCACTGATTCTAATGTTATCTAAAAGTTTAATCATATACGTAAATCTGTAAGTTTTGTTTTCTGTGCTTAAAGCGAGTTCGATTTATTCCGTACACACTTGGTACAATGTATATCAGAGACATTTGAAAACAAACAAAAATAACGCGAAACGGATGAGAAGAGAAAACGAGAAATAGATGGGTGTGGACGTGGATGTGAGTGTGGGTATAGATATGGGTTTGTAGTCGTTTCAGTTCTTCTTTACCCACACTCGGATCCACATTCACACCTCCACACACCAAAACGCGCACACCCACACCAACATCAGCACCCTGAAAGCACACACGCCACACCCAGGCCCACACTCACACTATACAATGAAATGGCATCTTGTGTAGATAAAAACCTTCTAAATGGCAGAAACTCATTTACATGTTCCGAAAAGGACTTTGAATATTCATTCTGAAGAACTTGGTTTGATTGTGACTTTCTGAAGTTTTCGTTTTGTTTCTTTTAAATTTTGTTGATACATTGATAAATACGATTGTTCAAAGGAAGGTAATTGTAATGCCATTTCGTAAGCCTTTGTGAATTTTTCTAAAGCTTTTTCGTAGTTTCCTTGATTAAAATATACTGCACCACAATTATTATACGTATGAGCAACCTGAAAACTTTTTGACTCCAATATAGTTGTAAAACTTAATGCATTTTCAAACATATCGATGGCTAAGTAGTTTTTTCCTAGATGAGTATAGCTTGATGCTAAATTACCGAAGTCTATAAGCAGATCCGGATGACCCTTGGGTAATATATTTTTATTTATTTCCAATGATTTTTCCAGATATTTTATTGCTCTTGACCAATTCGACTTATTATAATATAAACCACCAAGTTTTGAAAGAACTGTTGCTGTTTGCGAATGATTTGCTGGTAATGATTGATTGCATATTTCGAGTGATTTCTCATAGAAAATCGAAGCTTGTTCATCATTACCAATCTGTTCAAAACAATGACCAATATTATAAAATAACATCACATAGCTGGGATGAACGATTGGTAAACACTTCTGTTTGAATTCAAGCGCTTTATTCAAATAACAAAGAGCGCGTTCATAATTGCCGATTTTGATGAACAATACGCCAAGATTACTAATTATGTCAGTAATGCATTCAAGCGTTTTTGGATGATTATCAATCTGAAATAGCTGAAAGTGAATCTGAAGTCCTGTTTCATAGTAATCTACCGCTTTTCGAGTTGCACCCATTTGAGCATAAACACCAGCAATATTATTATATGACATGGCGGTATGCGGATGAATTTCGGATAAAATTCTTTTATTTATATTCATTGATTTTTCATAAGCATTCAATGCTTCTTCGTACTTGTATTCATCTTTGGCCATTACACCAAGGTTATTATAAATAGATGAAACTTCAACACTATCCTCTAAAGAACTTTGTAGTATAAGATTATAATAGCGTTTTGCTTTTTCCATTTCTCCCATATCTTGTAAAATTCTTCCTAAAACCACTACCGTTTCTTTTTCTCTCAGTGTCATTTTTTGATAATCAATAAGTTCAATTAAGCGTTTATCTTCTTGTTCCGTAAATGTGAGTTTTACAATCCATACGTTATTTTCAATATCAACAGAGACAATTCGAAATATTGTACCCATCGATAGAAGGATTTCGTTTTCATCCTTCATATAACTATGTCTGCTAACATCAGCAAACGGTTTGGATTTATGACAGAGAGTTGTATCAATAGTCATTACAAATAGAACAGAACGTTGGCATGCTGGCCGATTTGTACCATCACCAGCGAATATTGAAGCCACTTCTTTACAAGTGGTTGTCGATAAAAACGTATTCATAGATATTAACTGACCAATATTTTCTTTCAAATGTTCTAATTCGGTTAAACCTAGACTTTGACCACGATAAAGAATTAAAGTTGATGGAAAACGTTGTGCGGTGTATAAAGTGAGTAGTTGTTGATAGAGGTCGACAATAAAAAAGCGAAATTTAAATATATTATCAATATCTTCTGTTCGAAATGCTTGATTCATTAGACGAAAAAGAAAACAATTCCGTGTGTACCAGAAAATAGCATTTTGCGATTCGTAACATGTATTAAATTCAGTGATTTTTTCTTGTTCACTTTCGTTTTCGTCATAGCTTTTTCGACTGAGGTCTATTAAATCAGCTTTCGCACTTTCAGTTGAGGATGGTATCCGTATTAGTACATCAATCAATAATTGATACCAAATAAATAAGGCATTTCCACTTGTCGTTAAATTACGTATTGATTTTTCTTGGCTATTCGAAAATATTGATAGAGGTAATATATCGTTTGGACTGCTATTGATTAACTCATCAATAGGCATTTGATGGCTGTGATCATACGAAAAACATAGTTTGTTAGCATCTTGAATATGAACACTACTCCCATGGGCATAGATTTTTTCAATTTGTTCCAATCCATAAACTAGAGGAATAAGATAATCAACGAAGACACCTGATATTATTAAATAAAACTTATCTTCAAGTCTCGATGTTATATAATCTATACATTTGTCAGCATCATCAAAAAGTTTCCATTCTTTCGTGAAATATCGATTTCTCGCTGTCCATTCATTGGCATAATAGAAAATATTGAGATCAAGCCATACGGTAATCAACTTGCTCTCCATTCAATCAAAAAGTGCGCAGACAAACCGTTTCTTGCAAGAAAACAGGACGCAAATGAGTTTTACACATTTTATAATAGAAGAAAGTAAAAACAACACAAACGTACAGTTGACAAAAGCATTATTCAAAGCATCGCGACACTTTCTCCACTACTACTATGGCTAAAAAAATAAACAGCCTCGATCATGTGAGCAAACAATTATAACTGGCATGAGAAAATAGTGAATCAATCATAAAAGTAAAACCATTGTACATTTCTAGTTTTATTCATTTTAACAATGCCGAGGATGACGAATCTTGTTGAATTTCAAATCCAAATCCAAATATTTGCACTCAGTCCATATTAACCCTTTCAGTCCCAAATTATTTCTGCTGGTTCCAATTCAAGTAGACTGTTAGATTAGCTCATTTTACACACAAACACATGAACGACTATATATCTCCTTTACAGATAGTTGGAGCAGATTATAGAACACTCTTTATTACATCTTTCCCAGAGAAAGAATTTAATAGCAATTGCAGCAGCTTTAAATTTCATTCTTATTTATTTTAAATTTTATTTCAAATTAATAAAAGATTTATTTATATTTAATTCAATAATAGCTTATTTAATAAATTTAGGGTGTGGGTGTGGATGTGGGTGGGTGGATGTGGGGTGTGGGTGTAAGTTTGGGTGGGTGTTGGTGAGTGGGGGTGTGGATGTGGGCTGGGGGTAGGGTGGGGGGGGGGGAGGTTTGGGGGGGGGTGGGGGGGGGGGGGGGGGGGGGGGGGGGGGGGGGGGGGGGGGGGGGGGGGGGGTGTGGAATGTGGAGTGTGGTGGATGCTTAGCTGTGGATGGGTATGACTGTCGCTGTGGACGTGGGTACTCAATTCACTGGTACCCATACCCGCACCCACACACCACACCCACCCACACCCTCACACCACACCCACACCCACATCCACCCCTTTATCAAGAAAAAAATACGTTTTTCCTTTTTGTTTTTTGTAGCAAATATAGCTTATACATCAATACATCTGGCAGATATCTTACCATGTTCCCTTGATACATTTCTTACTCAACCATCACAAACATTTACATAAACAATTTATCTAAATAATGGACCATCGGTAATCGTGATATTTACTATAGAATTTTTATTATAATACAAACAGAAATCATCCAGGTCACTTTTTACAATGTTCATGTTCTTTTCACTTCTATTTTTTCTTTATACCTCTTACTCATTAGTGAAATTGAATTGTGATTTCTAATTAACCCCAAACACGCACTCTTCCCATATTTTCACTTAAGTTATTCATATAATCGATGAGTTCATTATACAAACCTAACTCAACATATTTTAATAGATAAATAAACGATAACAAGCATTTCCAAGGGGATTTCTTAATATTTACTGAAAAGAGATTGTCTCAATTATAGTGATTATCAGTCTAAAATCAATCTCAACTCATTGTCACATTAAAGTCAATAATAATACACTGTACTTTCTTGTCTATTGTACAGAGTATGTTGCTCAGGCAGATTGATATTATCAACAATCCGTACATTTTCGTCATTGCAACATGTATTTCATAAGAATAGATCATTTACGTCTTGATAAGTTGTAAAAAGCAACTTTCTTTCAAGATATAAAAATAAAAACACATGACTGGTTTCTTTTTACATTTTTCACTTCTGTATTTGTATTTATTTACTTGATATTATCAAGACAGCATAGATTTAAGTATTGCAATTATTATTGTGTGTATAAGAATTGCTTATGCATTCATGACTACGTAACTTTAAGATTCATCTATGCTTTTATTGAAAATGAGTATAGAAGACGTTCATCAAAATCATTAAAAAGTATATATGATAATAGATATGATGATTTTATTGAAGGAGATGAAGGAATATTCATTTCATTAGCTACATCTCGACGTTTAAATGATTCACTTCGTGGTGAAGATGATGTTTTCGTTCAGACATGAAAACAATAGTTGCTCATGAAAATCATCCATTATGGATTACACCAGATGGCCATGTTTTTCTTGAATCATTTTCATCAGCTTATAATCAATCTCATGTTTTTATAATAACTATTGCTGATCTTATTAGTCGATCAGAATATATACAAGAACATAAATTATCAGCATTATTTGGATTTATTAAAATATGTACATGAAGTTATGGAAAATTAAAATTAGTATTAAAACATAATTGATATTTTATTGAAAGTCCCACTTCAACAGTTTTGTGACAGTTTACGCGAACATAGAAGCTGGTTTCATACCTGCAGTTGTAAACAAATGACAAAAGTTTTATAGAACAAAGAAGAATATACTACTGAAAAATTATATTGCCAAATCCAAAATGTTTGGGTCATTGGAAACCAAATCCAAATCAAATTCAAACTAGATCCAAATATCAGATATCAAATTCAAATACGAATTCAAAATAAATCCAAATCTAAATTCGAATATAAACCCCCTAATATCAAACTCCAAAGGGTGTGGGTGTGGGTGTGAGTAGGTGTGAGTGGGTGTGGGTGCGGGTGCGGGTGTGGGTGTGGCTATAGGTGCCGGTGGGCGCGATGGCTGAAGTCAAGATTTGAGCCAAACGCACACCAGCACTCACACCCACACCCATACCCACACCCACACACCCACCAACGCCCACACCCTGCACCACACTTACACTCACACCTACACCGACACCCATCCACACCCTACACCACATGTACACTCACATCTACACCTACACTCTACCCGGCACCCTTCCGACAACGACACTGGATGGCGTCCTCCTCTTTCTCACTCATACACTAGTCGCGAGTTTTCCATTACAGCTTCCAAATCTCTGCGGTATGTTACATTGTCCGGAAGGTTTGTGCAACTTGTACGGTATGAAATCTTAGGTTAGCAGCTGCTGCATTTTACCGACGTAATGGCCTTCGGTATCTGCTACACGTAGTTCGTTTGCAACGTGCGATCCTTCACCACTGTTATTACTTTAAATAAAGCAGTACTTTTTAAGCTAAGACTTCATAGTATACGAGTTACGCGAAATTTCCGCATAATGGGATACTATGGCGTTCATTTGTTTTTGTCAGGAGATTTGTATGGTGTAGTTGTTCGATATTTTAGAATACAAGGCTTTGCTACTCTGTTTATGATCGCTGTGGCGCTCTGGAAAAGCTCAATCTGCATAGAAAAAGTGACGATCATGTGATAAGTGAGACTGAAGATCACATGAACCATACTATCAGCTACATTGGCTGTCCTACCGGCTTCCCATTGTGTGGTCGTTCGAACTTTTCGAGCAGAGCAAATTTTCCTTTATAGTTTGTCGTCATTCTGTCTATGTCAAAAAGATCTATCTGCATGGAAAAAATGATCATGATATCACGAGCTATCGTCAGGATCGTATGAACGACACTATCGCATTCATTTACTTTCCGGCAGAATCCGAACAGTGTGGTCCTTTGAAATTTGCGAGCAAAGCAAAATTTTCTTAATATTTCGTAGCCATTTCGTGGCTCTCGAAATGCTCTATTTGCACCGAAAAAGTGGTCATGCTATCAAGAACGATAGTCCAGATAAAATGAACCACACTATCCCATCCATCGGCTTTCCCATGGGATTCAGACAGTGTGGTCTTTGAAAAATCCTGAGCACAGCAAATTTTCCTTTATACTGCGTCATCACTTTGTAGCTCTTGAAAAGCTCTATCTCCTCTGAAAGTATGAGCTTCAAGTAATGAGGAGCCGCGGTGAACCTGTGCGCCTGATTAGGAAATCGATACTATTAATGTCCTAGTTAGAAATGTCGAGTAGAGGTCTCAAATGATGTTCTCAAAGGGTTCGGAATGCTTCATTCTTATATAGAAGAAGATGAAATTCAACTCTAGAAAGTGTTCTGAAGTCATTTTCATTTAGGACCGCTTTACGTGCAAACCGTCCTCTGTCCTTTATTCCACAGAGATACCGAAAACTATGCTAATTACAAGTGCTTGTATTCGTATCAAGTCTTCCTATATGCTTTCAGCCTTCCTATGAAAAAGAATTTCATGTGACTTCTAAATAGTGTCTTATGCAATTTGTTTCTCTTCGGCTGTCGAGAACGGAAGTACTAGGTGGTCTAGAATTAATTTCATTGAATGAATGGAAACATTTGGAAAATATGACTGTTACTGGCGCTGTCCTCACAGTATGTTTTCTTTCTCTTCTCTCTATTTCCCTGGACGTGATATCTTTGATAATATATCATCATCTATTTCTTTTCGTTAAAATCCTTGATGCGTGTGATAATATATATACGCATTTTTCCTTTTCTTTTCGGTTCGTTATGCAGCTTAGTTATTGTGTGTGTGTGTGTGTGTGATATGATATGTGAGTGTAATTCGGTTTCATATGAAATAAAAGAAAGGGGATTTTAAACCTAATCCCTAATAATGACTTTGGAAGAAACATGATATAATTGTTTGGAGGTCCTGTATTTATCACATTGCGATTCAGTTCATTGAAGAGAACCTTGGATGCAAGGAAAAAACATGCCATTTATTGCGCAGATACATATCCTTATTGACCAACGATCATTTACTTGTTGTATGTTTAGATGTTAATAAGCTTTCGAATTGTGAGTAATGAACTAGACTTCTCGAACAAGCCAAGCAGAAACCTTTTAAATGGAAACCGCGTAAGTTACTTCAGATCATTCGCAGTGGAGAATATTGATGGCTCACAAGAGACAAAGTATTCATCTTTTTTCTATGTCGATAAGCAGAAATCAAAAAGACTTGAAGAGATTTCAATCATATTACTTTTTTCAGTCTAAAGAGAAATTATAGTGGAATAGGATGTTTTTAGTATAAATCTAAATTATTCAAGTAGAAATCATTCATTCATCTTTACCATCATAAGTTAAGGCCAGAAATGAAGTATAGTTCGTAAAATAATGATTGGTAAATATACGTTTATTTACAACAACAAAAAAATAAACATATTTATCACTCATTCGTCTAGCACATATGTTTTAATCCAAACAGAAATCATTTTCTTTACTGAAAAGAAATATTTCATCATGAAATAAAAAGAATATAAACATATATCCATCAATCATTATTCTACAGATTGTATCTCACTTTTGATATCTATATATGTAAAGAAGAATGTCTGTTTGTGTGTTTGTGTGTTTGTTTGTTCGCGATGCACTCAGTCCCTGTTATAGCTATAGTCACCAAACTTTCCATAATTCTTTTCTGAGTCCTGGGAAAGGTCGACGTCCACTTTTTTTCGAAAAAAAATCAATCCTACCCATGCTACAGGCGATCTATGAAACCGACCAATAGGGTTGCAGCATTCGGTACCATATAACTATAACTGAGCTCAACTTCATGAACACACAGAAAACATGGAACTAGAGGTTTCCGAGTGCGCTGNCGCGTTTTGTTTGCATAAGAAAAACGCGTTTTTGATAATCAAAACGCGTTCCAAAATAATGACAAAAGCGTCTTAACAACGCATTTTTTTATTTCAAAAACGCATTCCTATCCGTTCTTTTGTTAATCTTGTTTTACATGGGAAGAGTAAGAAAAAGAGGGAACATTTGAACTTAGATTTCTAATGAATAAACTGATTAAACAGGATTTTTCGATTAAAAAACGAAGAGAAAACTCCTATTGCTTTTGGTTTTATGCGAATTTTAAATTAGCACAGTCAGTGTAATGGAAAAATTGAGAAAATTCAAAATAATAGGGAATATTAACAACATCAATTTTTTTGTAATTATTATGATAGGTTTCATTCTATATATGTGCGAAGAATTTTTTTAGCAACTAAGCTCGACAAACAAACTTAAATTATTAGAAAATAATGTAAATCAAGACATAAAACATTTGAAACGAAGCATTTCGGAACAAAGTCTTTGAGTATGGATATGGAGAGAGATAAGAAATAAACTTGCATCGATACGTCACTTGAAGACTCTTCAGTTTTTTATTATTGTTCATAGTTCAGACTCCTCTGATACTAAATCTTCATTTTCATTGTTCAATTCTACATGAATATTAGTGTTGTCATTCATCGAATGGAAATATAAATGCAAATTTATTCTATAGTTATTATGTCAAGTAAATATGATACAAAAATTGGAAATGAAAGCAAAAACAAACGACTCATTGAGCTTAGTCCTGATTCGAATATAAAGAAACATTAATAAAAAGCTAAATTAATAAAATAGATGCTAACAATAATCAATCCATTGTTTCCTATCAATATCTTTGAAGTGTCGCTACAATACCTATTGAAAAATACTATTTATATTAGTTAAAAGCCAGTAATTCAGAATGGAGTACAATAAGTGTAATTCACGGATATAGTTTTTTTTTTCTTGTAGTACAAAATGAAATACAATATCCTAAAATGGGCTAAATTTGGCAACTATATTTTAGCTCCAATTGTTGAGGTGTGTGTGCTAGGGAGAAGGGCGAGAGTAGTCGCACTAATTCAATTTAAAACTTCCAGTCATTGTTTTCTTTAAACATAGATGTAAGTTTCACAAAAGTGAAGTAATTCAATTATACTGTTGCAATGAATTCTCTCCTAATATGAAAATAAAATGTATAACATACATTTTCTAGCATTTATTATTGAACAGAAAATAAAAACAAATTCGATGACATGTACATTAACAAAATGACTGATTATATCATTGCCTGTAATGACGATATTATAGAATATCTAATTATCAAATGAGTTTCTATTTTGGTTTCGAAGTTTGACTTGTTTGTATTTTTCGAAAATGAGGTTCGCTCATTTTTGTTGAGCTAAGTAAAAAATCGACAGTAGCCGCAGTCGTAGCACAAACAATACCATAGACTTGAGCTAAACGAAGAAGTGCTTGCACATCGGCAGCATGAGGATGAGAATCCAATGGATCAATAAAAAAAATGAGAATATCAAGTTCTCGTGAAGTAATTTTTGCACCTAACTGTTGGTCACCACCCCGCGGGCCACTTTCAAATTTAGTTACAGGTATTTTAAGCGCTTCTTCGACTAATGTTCCAGTCGTACCCGTACCATATAATTTATGTTTAGCAAGTATATCCCGATATTGTTGAAGACATTCAATCAATTCTGCCTTCTTTTTATCGTGAGCAACAAGAGCAATTCTTTTTATTTCACCCATTACAACAAGACTGGATATGTCCTAACAAAGTTCAAAGCAGAAATGATTTTATTCTTTCTTAATTTCTATTCTTTATCAGAGGTTCAAGAAGTATTTACCATTTGAGCTTTGGAACTATTTTCAAGCTCATAAACCATTTTAGCAAAATATCCATCATTTTTTTCCCTTATAATCATACTAGTCAAGTCCTGATTGCCTCCGTTCATAAGACCTACTTCACGAACTACACAACAAAAAAGAATATGTCAATGAAAGAAAATGAAAATAAATAAAATTTCACCATTTTCGGCATAAAATGCTTGTAATGCGTTCTGAAAAAAAAAAAGAAATCATAATGAATTAATTTGAAGATAAAAGTGAGTTGTTTTTATTTTGTATAAAAATGATGGCGTAACTTACATTTAAGTTCCATTCGTGTTGACTAAGATAGTGAATTGAATCTTCAAAATTGAAAGAAGTTACAGCCTAAAATTAACAATAGTGAGATAACCAACAACGACAGTAACAGATTTACTTGAAAATAATCAAGCATTTGACCTCGTGATTGAAATCCTGTTTCGTTACGTTCCATTTTATTGACGAAATTCTTAACCTATAATTGAAAAAGGTCGATTAATAATGATTTTATTTTTCAAATTAATCGTTCGTTCTAAATACAGCAGAAAAAAAAAAGAAATTTCTATGACTGACGTTGTGACGTAATGGTTCAGATAGGAATCTTAGAAAGTAAATATTTCGTATTTATGAGATTTTTGTATTTACAATATGAATCCGTGATTGCAATTATTTAAAGTTGATTTTTACATCATATCTACGTACCTTAGTATCAAATCTATGATTTCAAATGACAATATTATATTCTTTTCGTGACACTCATATTTATAGAAAAACAAACGGAGAAACAATTTCTTGGAATTTTCCAAATTGGATACCTCCATTGATCAGTATACTAATGCATGATATTTGAAACATCCACTGCGTGTATGCCATAATATGACATTGCAACATTATTTTTATTTTTATGTCATCATTACAGGAAAGAAAAGTCATACTTTTTCGTTGATAAAATGTCACGTGATGACTAATTATAGCCTGAAAGATAAAAAAAATACACCGCACGATTCCCGACATGATGTCTGTTCTTTCGTTCTGTATATGTATTCTTCTTTTCATTTAATATGCCAGAGAAAAATTTCGTTAAAATATGAGTCATTGATAGTGAACTGCATCGAACTCCGACACAGTCGGAGTCGGAGTCCGGGTTACAGAATCAAAAATTACCCACAACACACTGTCAATTTTTCGTTATTGATGTATGTTGAGAAAATTTCGAAAATTTCATTTGAAAAAGTATTAGAAACCATTCATTTATTTCTCATATTAATTATTTTCTTTTTATTATACAAAGGAAGCTAAAATCATCAGCCTTCTTGATTTGAGATAACGCATTATTGTTTATATTAATTACACATGCGAAAAGAACAAAATCATATTGTTAGATCGCTTTTTTCAATCTTTTGAATATCTAAAATGAAGAATTCACAATCGAATTCATTTGACAGACGTTGTCTTTCTTTGCCTTATATTTTATTGCTCAGTAAAAAATTAGTTTTAGCATAGTGAATAATTTGAAAAGTTCAGTATTATTTATTTTTCTTAAGTTTTTTATTTATATCAGTAAAAATAGAATAATTACTATTAATATAAATTTATTGCATCAGGGATGCTGTTGTAGACTTCTGTGATCTACCGAGACGTCTTTTTTTCACCAGTATTAACGTATTTAGCAGCACGTAACGGTTGGTAGTATTTTAACCTAGTTGCGTCTCATTTGTATTGATCTCATCGTCACCAAACGACAACTATATGGTATATTCCAAACGAAGTAGGAAAAATTCAATGACACCTGAAGAAATAACATGATGAGAGAAGAAATTATCTAAACTATATCAATAGAAGAGTACGTTGGAAAAATAACTTAGAGTGAAGCATGGGAAAAAGAAAAGATATGAATATTTTATTGTACATTATCCATTTGACTGATATGTCATCATGAGTCAATGTGAAGAACCCAATGTTTTGTTTACACTAAAATGTTTTTGATAAAAATAAAATGACATAAGTATTATTCATTTAATGAGTAAATAAATTTTTAAATGAGCAAATTGAGTTAGTTATTGATACTTAGATTTTAACCTTTTCGTTACCGCGTCACATCTCGTAGATGTGATATAGAACGAAAAGAAATATTTTGCGTTCTGTCGACTTCTTAGACCACAAATATCATATGGTATCTTCAAAAAAAAGAAGAGGGTCTTAAATGATACAGTGCGGCGCCAAAAAAGCATGCACTTTTTTGTTTTTACGCATNGAATGTCGGAAGATAAAAATGTAGAAAATAAAATGTCAACAACGAAAACTACAGGGATTTTGAAGTGTACGGATATTGAAAATGATAGTACATGAAGCCCCAAACTCCTTCACTCTCATCCACATTCTTGCACCCACACCCTTCTTCATCATCCAACATAGAACAATATTCATCGAAATAAATCAAATTTCTTTTGAAAAGAGAACCAAAAGAGAGCTTCTTTTTACTTATGACACATGAAGTTTAAGTGCTTGTTATAGAGTAGCAAAGACATTGATCTTCATCGGAAACCCTAGATGTTTCTGTGCCGGATCCTTCATACCTTAGACAAGGAGCCTTGCAGGATTTGTTTTTTCCCCTCAGGGAACGACAAAATCCTGAAAAAAGTGTGTAGCCATAGGATTCAGGATTCGAAAGAGTATCCAATTAGGATCCTAAATGGATTGCTGTTGTTTTTAAATCAAAAATCGTTCAAGAATAAAGAAAATCATAAAGAAAGTGTATCGCCACGGAATTTCAGGATTCTGGGAGGACTTGAAGCAGAATTCAATAAGGACTCCTAGCAGTTTATGGCTCTTTTAGAATTGTGAACGGTTCAGGAATCGAATATGGCTGTGAATGTGGACTCGTCCTGTATATACTAACAGCCATCCCCACCGCTACGCCCTGTTGTTGGACTCCTGTTGATATTCTCTTATAATTTATTCATCCTCGTTCGGTGGATGCGTGTATCAGCATCCAAATTAGATCCCGGCTAAAACGTGGTAGAATTTTAAGAGAATCGTTCCTGTTACTCCTGTAACGATCCGAAGTAGGATCAAAAACGAACCTTGCTAGGATCCTGAATCGGTAACTAAGAAGAAAATCTGGGTAGGGACTTGACGAAATATTGATCAGGATCCTGTCTAACCATGAGAAACCCTAAAAACAGAAATTATCAGCAATTGAGGTGGGATCCTATAGAATACTTAGCAAGATCCTTGAGATTCAGCATCCTGGCAGATGCTTACAGAATTTCTGAAGGATTGAACAGAATTGAGACGGAGGATATGGTATGGTGGGAAAAGGCAGGAAGGAACAATATCGAAAATGAATGTATCGAAAACAAAAATAATATAAATTTAGATGAATGCAAGTGATGAAAACGAGAGTATATTAAAGTACCAATCTCCCTCACCCTCATCTTCAACTTTACTGGTTCATACGCATGTTATTTTTTTTTTCGACATTTTTATTTTCGATATTTTCCCCTTTCAATACTTTTCTTTTCTGCTTTTTTTTCCATCCATTCGAAGACATTATTGTTTTTTATTTTCGTTTTTGTTTTTCTAAAAGATATTGTGATGCAATCGGCTAATTTTCCTTTGGCCGAAAGGTAAAAACATCGAAAATAGAAATATCGAAAACAAAAGGGGATGACCAAATTGTGGGTGCAAGAATGTGGATGAGAGTGAAGGAGTTTGGGGCTTCATGTACTATCATTTTCAATATCCGTACACTTCAAAATCCCTGTAGTTTTCGTTGTTGACATTTTATTTTCTACATTTTTATCTTCCGACATTCTTGCTTTCAATATCAAGAGACTAAGTTATGCACACAAACTGATATTCTCTTTGACGTTTTTATTTTCTTCTTAAAGAAGTTGTTTAACGTTATTCATTATATGCAACTAATAGTAATTTTTATTTATATGAAAACAATGGTTAGTCCTTTACCCTCTGAATGGATCATTTTTCATTCCGGTCAAGAAACTGTATCGTGAAGTTACAAATCATTGAATCAAGAAGATTTTAAGAAGCGTATCGAGGTTGCATTGAACAAGCAATAAACTATGAATTCGTAAAAAAATTAGTTCTTTATTTTCACTTCTTGGCTGATATATTTAAGTAAAAATATGTTTTCTACGCATGGATCAAAAATGACTGAACGGGATAAAGAATTAATGATAGTAAATTACTTTTGTTAGCATGGCAAGCTAACATATCCTTAAAAAGTTGCGATCAGATGCGTCGCCCACAGACCGGGCCGGTTTTTTAAGAAAAACCCATGGGCCTGGCCGGCTCAAGGCTGATAGCCCATGGGCTGCTTTTTCTTGGCCCGGTCCGTTGAGACCTCTGATAGCTATTCAATAAAACATCCAATAGAATACTTATTGCTCCTAAAAAAAAGTTCTCAGAATAAACTAGAACGAGTTTTAAATTTAATTAAATCTAATAAACTTGACTGTTATTGGAAAATATGTTGACTGAGAAAATATGGCTACTATATATATGTTGATCAAGAGAGAGAATATTATGCTTACACGAATATTACAGATTTAGTCCTTATAGGAACAAACAGACTGCCCTTTGGCTTGCTGGTCAATCTAAACATCTAAATGTTGTCTGTGCACTAGTATGCTAGGGGAAGGTACAATATTAATAATCGTGCAGATATTTTGTTCTCTCAACCAAAGTCTACTCCATTGTACTTGGCATATGGAAATGGACAACTGGAGACGACGAAATATCTCCTAGAGAACAGTAAGAATTTATGCCCAGTATCTATAGAAGAATCAACAGTTTTGATGATTGAATGTCCGTTTAAACACAGTTCATAAACGTAGAAACCGTTCAGAACAACGACAGACAAATTCCATAGTCAATGGTTATTATACTGAATCAAATAAATGTTATGAAATATTTTATTGAAAATCGAAATGAGTGTTCGTATAGAATTAAACAGTGTATTAATGAATTGGAGTTAATAGACTATTTGATCAGTACTACTTTTGTTAAATCAAGAGATGACAATCATAAATTAGAACAAGCGCATCAATATTCCTATGAGATATAGAAATGAGATACAAAAATCCAAATGCACCAATCTGTAAAAGTAATATGATAATTCCAGGCAATGTGTATGAATGCTGTGTAGCATATTAAACTGTTGAAGCATTAGAGAATATGATTGTAGATGAAGAATAGACGATCATCCATAGACACAGTTATATCCCACACTCACATCGACACCCAGACTGATTCTTCAGATATCGAAATCGAATTGGAAGTTAAAAAGCTCAGAGTCTATTTCACAAACAAGTTTTCTGGCTGATTTAATTTATTTAAATAGACATGCACAAGATAAAGTTTTTTGTTAGAAACTGTTTATTTCTGTCGACATTCAAATATGGCCATGACTGCTTGATGATCAGTGGCCTGTTTAGTATCAACAAGAGAACAATCTTTTAATACCCAGTCATCATTGATCAATGGACGCCAGAAGATGTAATCAATTCGTGTGCCATAAGGACACGTCGCCACTTGTTCATCTTTCAGTTCTGGATTAGCTTGTCGAAAAGCATCTTGAAAACCGAAACTTGTTGTTATGAGACGAGTGAGATCGAAACGAGGTAATTCCCATCGAGCTTCTTTTCGTTTATCGAAAACAATATGCTGGTAATAATCATCAGAGTAATCTTCACGTGTCACTGCATTCATATCACCCATTAAAATGCTGACATTTTTATGATGCGGAGCAAAAGAAATCATTTGAACAATTCGATCATCTTCATTGATATGATCCAAATGTGTTACGGCAAATCTTCGATTTTCAACAAAAGGATGATTACCACCGAGATTGAATTGTAACATTGCTCGGGTACCACCACGACATCGATGATCAGCAATGACATTCATGCTGTATACGATCGGATGACGCGAGAGAATGGCATTGCCATGGGTAGAATTATAGCTTGCTCCAAAAACTGAATGAGGTAAGGAAAGATAATCTTGAAGTATCCTCGAATCCGTACTGTTTGTTGCTTCTTCTAAAGCAATCAGATCGAATTCGAGTGGTGCAAGTACTGAGACCAAAGAGTGTACGTTGCTTCGACCTGTCCATGGATTGATAAATCCGTGAACATTAATCGTAGCGATACGAAACATTCTCACTGCTGAATTTTGAGCCATAAAAAATAGTTCTATACAAAAAAAAAACAGAAGAATGATACTCGAAAATTCTTCCATACATGTCCTTTTTCTTTCTTTGATTTTATTGCAACCTTCTATCTTATTGAAATGCCATGATAAGAATTTTCGCTGACTATAATTTATTTTTCTATACGAGTCGAACAGTTTTTTTAATGTTATCTTTCCTTTCCTAAACCTGAAAACTCAATACTTACAGTTTCGGGTTTTCATTACTATTATATTATTTGGAGTATTGCCTATCGAATGATATATAAATGACAAGTCTCCATTGTTAGTTTATATGGTAATTAAAACTGACTTTGGAAATTCTTATAAAAAAAAAATAGGCACTATAATTTTGCGTTCTACAGTTGCGTCAAGGATCAATCATGGTTTCTTGGCTATAGTGTTTCATGTTTCTCTCGAAACTGAAATTTCGATAAAACAGTGTAAAATCGCCCCTGTTTCTTCAGGTTTAGGGGCGTAGACGCAGCTTTTGCAGTCAGTGATACCCACAACCACGTCTACGGTCTGTAGTTCTGCCTCAAGTTGGGTTCTTCTGTTATTGGAATGCATTGAGATTTTCAAAGAGAAAGAGTTTCTTTTTTTTCTTGGGATAATGTGCTATCGTAAGTAGCTATTTGCCACAGCAGAGTCACAAAAATCAAAATAAATAGCAAATCCAACATTTCAAGAAGACTTCTTTCTTTGAATATTACATTGAATTATAATAGGTTCGGAATCAATATTAAAGTCTAGTTTCAAATATAAACTATAGAATTTCTTTTTTTGAAAATACTCACTCGTTAGACGACAAGATGGTAAGATGACTAGGATTCGAGCAATATATGATGAGCGCTCATTCTGTGAGGGATTTCTTAGTCTCTTCTAGATCATTCCTCAGCATTGTTATGGAACTATTGATCGTCAGATACGTCCGAAGGCAGCAGATATATTCGATTTGTAAGTTTCAATCATGCATCTGATCGAATTCAAGTCTACTACACAGTTAGTTAGGCTCTTGATCGAATCGATTCACTCTAAAAGTCCTTTGGAGCAAAAAGAAACAGACATTTTCTATCTATTCGATGATAGTCGAGAAAACAAATACCACATATTATGTTTAATGAGTCACCATCGTATTCTTTTCAAAACAAACACATCCAGTCGATGCCTGGTTCAATAGATGTCTCTCGTTCACGATATTATATTTCGACGGACACTCTTCATGGTTGAAATGAACACAAGTCACTTTACCAAAACAATCATAATATCTTCTTACATGTATTTATTTGAGGGTGTGGGTGTGGATTTTCTTTTTACCCATACACACACATCTGTTGTGGCAATCATAGTAGACATATCGAAACGTCGACAAGATATTACAATTATGTAAAAATAAATTTAAGCTGCTGTAAAAATGTATTAATCTTTCATTTAATACAATATATGCCCGTTACAAAACGTAATGCATGCAGTAATGCCTCACACTTGATGTTGATTATCTATGCTTATTGAACCTCTCCCTCTCTCTCGTTCGATTTTTGACAAATAGATTTTTTACTGATTTCTTCAGCAAATTCCTATAATGTGTCCTCATGTTGTCAGAAAAGTTGTATTTTGAGTTTTGACTTGAAAGTTAGTGGAAATGGTGTCCTCAACGCGATTACTTCACTATGACAGGATCAGCGTTTTTTATTGTTTCTCATATGAGATTCAGATATAAGCACAATGTTTGTTTTTGAGTGTGAGTGTATGGTGAAATTAGCAGAATGCCGACGTCTACGCTCACAATCACTACCTCAACCGATTTCAATTGCCAGTTTCATTGAAACTTTTTTCTTCATGGAAATAAAGCAAGCAAATATTATGGTTAAGTATTCTTTTTCGTATCGTGAAAGAAATTCGATCTATTTTCAAGTAAAAATAGTACATATACAATGTTTCGTAGATAATTTTCAGTTATCAAATATAATAATAATAAGAACAAGTCGAAACAAACTCTATGAATGAATGTATATTGATACTTGCAGAGCAACTTTTCAAAGCTATTCAAAATGAAATTCTAAAATAGTTGGAAATTCAAAGCTTTGTATTCAGTAACTTCCGAATTTATTGGTTTTATAAATTTGCTTTATTTACTTGAATACAGATTCATTAATAAAATTCGCTGTCACTTTTTCTTATTACTCTCCTATATAAAACATCACACCTGTACTTTTTTTCTCAATGACAAATTTACTTCAATTTTCTTCTGTGATACGCAAACTAATATTTGACTATAATGTTTGGTAACTTATCTGTAAGAAAAAGAAAATTTGAATGACATTCTTGTCCCGACAAAATTCAATCATTTTATCTGGCGAATGCGAAGGTATTGTATCACTTTTATGTAAATGTTCTTGATAGGCCATTTTGTTTTAGAATAATTGTGATTTTCATAGAAATTTCCCAATTTTGATGACATGGGCGTTAGAGAATGTCATAGGAAGCAAGATCTACCGTGCTATTGTCTTGAATATGCGAGACTGTACTTCTTATCAATGACGTTGTTTTGATATTTATCGCATTTAATGCTTTCCAATGAAGATAATGTTAAAAGAAAAATCAGATAAAAACTTCATTGGATAATATAAGAATACGTTTTACAAGTTAAGATACAATAAGAGCATAAGCTTTAGAATGTACAATAAAGTAAGACAAGAGTATTTTTCTTAATCACACTAAGCAGTATCAAAAACGTCAACCTGAATAATTATTACCATAAAATCCTATTGTTAACATAATATATATTCGTTCAGACAGGACGACATTCCAGACTGTACAGTATTGAAAACAATCGTACGCTTTCACTTTTGTCTGTTTTTATTGATTATACTGTGAACCATTTGTTCTCATTTTTTAAAGATATCAACAATTTTTGAATTTTATTTATACTGCTAAACTTATGTTATGTTTATAAACATAATTACTTAGGTGAACTTTTCATAAATAATAATTATTTCTAAGGTAGTTGTCATCATATATCATATTTACGCAACTTTTTAAATTCAAGTAACAATTCTGTTTTTTTCTCCTTTAAGATGGCAAAGAAGAAAGAATCCAGTGCTGGTCGCTATAATGTATCTGGTGAAGAAGTTGCACGTGAATTTGACATTTCTCTTCCAGAATTAGATGAATTAATAAAAACAAGAGGTCCTGATGGTATTAGAAAACTTAATGAAATGTATGGTGGTCTTAATGGTCTAGAACAAAAGCTCAAAACAAATTTAATAACTGGTAGAACTAGAATAAAATAAGAGTAAACAATCAATGTTTTAAAATCTATTATTTTCGATGTAGATTTATCTAGTGATGAAGCTGATTTACGTCTACGTACAGCTGCATTTGGTCGTAATGAAATTCCATCAAAATCACCAAAAAACTTTATTCATTTTATGTTTGATGCTTTGAAAGATCATACACGTATTATACTTATTATATTGAGTATCATTTCATTAGTTTTATCATTTTATCCTTCAAGTAAAGAAACATTTGAAGCAGAAATAAACCTAAGTAAATGTATAATCAAAACAAAATGGACCAAGACCAAGAACAATGTTTTTCTTTTCATACATATATTTTTATTTTGAGAAAAACTAAATGTTGAATGGATGAAAGGTGCAGCAATTATTATCGCTATACTAGCTGTTGTTCTGGTAACAGCAGTTAATGATTGAAAACAAGAACGACAATATCATAATTCTCGTTTGAAAACTGAACTTGATCAAAAGTTTAATGTCATTAGAGATAGTACAGTATATCTAATTCCAATAAAACATATTGTTGTCGGCGATATATGTCAAATAAAAAATGATGATTTATTACCAGTTGATGGTCTTGTTGTACAATCACATGATCTCAAAGTTAATGAATCATCATTAAATGGAGAATCAGATTTAATTGAAAAACATGAGTCAAGAGACCCATTTCTTCTTTCAGGTAAATAAATTCATTTGTTTTTTTGTTGTTAATTAAAAATGACTATTTAAATTAAATTATCCACTATTTTGAATATTTATCTATTTAGGTACACAGATTATGGAAGGTAGTGGTAAAATGTTAGTTACGGCTGTTGGTGGAAATACTCAAGCGAGAAGCATATACAAATTATTAGACTTAAATAGAGAAGAAAACAGTGAATCGAAAAAGAACATTTTCAATACAAAATAAAGTGTGATTTACGATTTTGTTCTATATGAATTAGTCAATAAAAAAAGTATTTATTAATTTCTATCAGCACTTATAATAAGGTTGATCAAAGTCTCAATATCTGTGCTATGAAACTATGGTAGATCCTGATATATCATATCGGAAATCATAGCTTTAATAGATTTATAAGAATGTTATCTATTTCCATATAAAATACCATAGACGTAGCTCGGATCATAGAACTCATCTTATATTTTCAGATTTGTTTTCATGTCGTTAGGAAGATATTCGCTAACTGATAGTCAAGGAAAAAATGAATGAGAGTCAGTTGTATGTCTCATTTTGCGTGATTTTTCCCATCTATACAATGAGTTCTACACGTATTCAATAAGTAGAGTAAAGATTTTTTTCTCAGTATATATATGCACAAAATGTCAAGCTGTTATTGATCAAATAAGTTATTCTGATCTTTTTAAAGCTTTAGGACATTCAATTTTACAAACAAAATTAATAAGATTAGCTTGTTTAATTACGTGTGCAGGTAAGCACTGATGTCAACCATTTTTTTAAATTTGATTTTTTTCTATAATTATCCTTAAATTATTCCACATTCTCTTTCGAAACTAAGTATTCTGCTTTCTTATTTTTGAATCAGTCCATATAAGCCATAACTGAACTTGCTCAATCGCAAGATATCTCGACTGTAGTTTATATGGCGTAATCTCATGTGTTTTATTGAAAAAACTTTTCTTCTAGCCATAGCAGTTGTTATTTTAACTGTACTAGTTATATTGGCTCGATTTTTCAATGAAGTATTTGTAAACAGGTAAAAGAAAACCACTAACTTTCCATTAATTGATTTTTCAACAACTATTTTTCTATAGACGTAGATGGAGTTATAAATACTGGAGTGAAATTATAAGGTTTTTTATCAGCTTTATAATAGTATATGTCCTTGTTGTACCGAGACGTTTACCATTGGCTGTGACAAAATCATTAGAATATGCAGTTAAAGTGAGTTAAGTCATTCGAAATTTTATTATTAATAATGTTTGTTTTTTTTCATTAGTAAATGATGAAAGATAATAATGTTTTTTGTCGTTTGGATACATGTGAAACAGTGGGTTATGCAACAACAATCTGCTGTAATATAATAGAAACATTAACCACAAATTACATGACCGTTATACAAGTTTATGTTGGTGATAAACATTGGAAAAATATTGAAAATCCAGCTAAAGCGATAGAAATTATTATTCCAACTAATACAAAAAAAATTATAGTTGAAAATATATCTGTTAATTGTAGTTATTCATCAAAATTATTAGTACGTTCATATGCAATTTTTCGTAACAAGAAAAAAAAGATTTTTGACAAAAAAGTCTTTCATTTTTCTATCTTTAGCCTTCATTAGAAAATGAAACATTCCTAAAACAAATTGGAAATAAAACCGAATGTAGTTTATCAAGTTTTGCTGATGCTCTTGATGGAAATTATGATGAAATCCGTACACATTATCCAGAAGTACAATTTGTTCATGTTTACCCATTTAATTCAGTACAAAAAAGTATGTCAACATTTATTCGACGATTTGATTCAACTGTACGTATGTATACAAAAGGTGCATCAGAAATCATTTTAAAAAAATGTAAAACAATATTAAATCGTAATGGATGGAGATATTGTACCATTTTCAAATGTTGACTATGATCGTCTTGTACAAACTGTCATTGAACCAATGGCATTTGATGGTTTATGTACAATATGTTTGGCATATAGAGATTTTTCACCAGATAGATTACCCGATTGGGATGATGAAACAAATATTATGGATCAATTAACGTGTATTTGTATATTTGGTATTGAAGATCCTGTGTGACCTGAAGTACCTGAAGTTATAGCTAAATGTCAAAATGCTGGTATAACAGTACGTATGATTACAGGTGATAATGTTAATACAGCTCGATCAATAGCATTTAAATGTGGTATTATATCACCAAATGATAGTTTTCTTATACTTGAAGGAGAAGAGCTTAATCGACGTATAAGACCAAGACTCGATGAAGAAGTAAAGAAGAAATTTTCGACAAAAAAATACAACGAATTTGCAGTCTGTTTTTGCTCGTGGTATTATACATAGGTTGAACCAAGTTTATTTGATAAAATTTGACCACAATTACGTGTATTAGCTCGTGCATCACCATCAGATAAATATGTATTAGTTCGAGGTATAATTGCATCAAAGATAAATCGAACAGGTGAAATTGTTGCTGTAACCGGTGATGAAAAAAGTGATGGACCTGTTTTGAAAAAAGCGGATGTCGCTCTAGCTATGGTCAGTTTTATTTTTATATTCACATAGAATAAACACTAAATTTGAACAGCATTCCAACGAGAAAAATATTCCTTTAAGGCAAAGATAACGGAAACTAGGTATAGAAAAAAATAATTTTAAAAATCAAAAATATCCAAAAACATTCCATTGATTTAATTATAGATCTAATGTTTTTAATAGGGTATAGAAAGTACTGATGTAGCGAAAGAAGCATCAGATATAATTCTTGCTGATAATAATTTGAATTCAATTATTAAAATTATTATGTGGGGCCGATAGTTTATGAATCCGTTGCAAAATTTCTTCAATTTCAATTTATTGCTAATATTGGTGTTTTATTTTGTGCTTTTATTGGAACATGTATTGTACAACAATCTCTATTAAGTGGTGTACAAATCTTATAGATTTATTTAACAATACATATATTAGTATCATTAGTATTTACTTTTGAAGTACCAACAAAAGAATTATTAACACGTAAACCTTATGGACGTACACCACCATTAATATCTCGTACAATGATGAAAAATATTATTGATCATAGTATTTATCAATTAGCTGTTATACTTTTTATTTTATTTGCTGGTAAGAAAAAGAATAAGAAGTCACAAATAGAGATTAATATTGATTTTTTAAAATTGTTTTTGAATATAGAAGGACCAAAAGTATTTAAT